CCCCCGATTTTTTTTCTCCCATCATGCATTTTCAAGTAATCTAGCAAAGGTTAGACTCACAGAGCTGTCACCTTGAGTTTTTAATCTATCATTCCAGGCGCATCTGCCTGGAAAGCATCTGTCCTCTCGTGCTCCTGTGTTACAGTAACGTTTCCACGTTCCTGCTAAAGGATTTGGAACAAAACCAAGTTTAAAACTTATGAATTCCCCAGGAAAGAAATAATTCTCCAGACTGCTCTGTGCTTAGTAACGAGGTCAGACCTGAAGTATTTTGAAGACTCAAACAGCAAAATAATAACAGAATGCAGAGCAAGTGGGATTGAAAGGCAGTGGAGGAGTTAAACTAGGGCCAAGATCCTTTCTGTCCGATACTCTGAATATTCTTTTACTCAAATACAAAAACACTGAAAGATGGCAGTAGGACAAACACTGACATGCAAAGAGAGATTTCCTTCCCCTTCTCTCTCAAGGAATGTTTCAGGAGTTTCAGCCCAGGCCTTGACAGCAGCTCAGCCATCAGCTCCAGCCTCCTGCCTTCAGAAGACACATTACCATCTTAGGGAATGCCCCAGAGTTCAAACATCCTCCTTCTTCCCCAGGCAGAGATACCCATTTTACCCCCAGAGAACCCCAGCTCACCCTCACCTTGAAGCCCTTATATTTTGCTCCTTTGTGTCTGAGGAATACTGTCCTGTCTGGCATAAATACTAAACCAAGGCATGACCTTATCTATAAAACTGGCGACTGTGTCTGCCAAGTTAAATAAAAAGTGTTTCTTCTCAAGGAATAAAAGCTAAAGAACACTGACCAATACAGAATCAGATCTTTACCATTCTAACAGAGGGTTTGCCCAGGCGAGTGAGACATAGATTTGTTCGCAAAGTTTCTACTGCTTGCTTCTAAGCCATTCACCTGCAGTGGCCAGCAGGTCGCTCCAATCCATCCCCCCAGTTGGGTGCTGCTGGTGAGAGAACTATTTTTGCAGCTATCAAACTGAAGTCTGCCAGTTAATGCTGACAACAGCCATCAGAAGGGGAAACTGCAGGCACTTCAATGCCCTGAATAAAGAGCACATTCAGAAGCCTCCTCCTTCTTGCTGTCCTGGGGGAAGACTGCTTATTCTGCTTCTCCCTGCTCCCCAAACACACAAAGAATGGGCAATTATTCGTGTACAGCAAGTGTGCAGAACTGCAGCTTGGCATCTGTGTGGGGAGGGCAGTGTGCGGGGCACAGTATTTAGAACCACTATTTACAGAATAGTCTTTTTGTACTGACAAGAAGAGCTCGTGCTGTAGGGCTGGTATAACCACCACAAGGTGCAGTTCTGACACCTCCTAGAAGTCTGGCTGGGTAACTTTGGGAATATCTCTTCAGTGCTAAGCCAGCCTTGCTCTAATTTATGTCCAAATGTATTACAAGACTAAGAATTTTCAAATCAAAAATACAAGATCATGAGATTATCTCTGAGGTCCCTCCCTGAACACAAATGAGATGCTGCTGCCATTTTCTGATTGAAAGAGCTGATTATTTTTGGCATTCATTTCAGTACCGTGCTATGAAGGAGCCCATTGTGGCCCCATATTAGGGCTGTAACATCATAAATGAATAAAACATCCTGGCCTTATTGCTGACACCAGCAACAGCTGCTCTCTGTAAAGAGACAGAGCATCTATTGAAAGGCAAGGACTAAGTGTGACAGGCTAAGCCAAGGTCCCTTCTAAACCTCTAATGCCAGTGTGAGAGAAAAAGAGAAGGGTGATTTGCAGGTATCACTAGAAAAGCACTTCAGGTGATCACAGCTACACAAAACACCCCTGGTACCTAACCAGAAGCACAGACTTGCTTCATGAAAGATTTTGCCCATTAGCAGCAGAAAAATGAAGCATGCTAAGAGAGAAAGTTTTTAATTTTGGAAAAAACCCTGTTTCTAGCACTGAAATGCATCAAGAGAGTGTGTTTTTCACAAGTGAAAGACATGAACTCCTTTTTTTATATGCACTTTCTCTAGCTGGCATCGAGTCAAAGGCAGAAGGATATGACTTCCTCTAGTGTTTTTCCCTTGAGATCTCACGGTACAAGCTAGTAGGAGTCATGTCCAAAACAAAATGTAGCAGAGCTGTGGAGCCCCTGAGTTTCCAAAAGATGCTAAAAATGTACAAGGATTCAAGGGAGAAAGAGGGAACACACTCAGAAGAGAAAGCCACCACAGGGTAACATCTAGAAGAGGAAATTAATTAATTAATAATTATAGGAAGCTCCATAGCCAAGCAGTGCATGGGCTTGTCCTTTCCTTACCTCCTCCCTCCCCGTGTTCCTGCTTTTTGGAGTTTGATGAACAGGCTCTTGGGCTGAGCCAGTGCAGCTGCTATTAGAGGGTTTTTTGGCAGTTCCTCTGGCCTTCCCAGATTTCTTGTTTCCAATTCTCCTTCAATTCTCATCCATGTTATTCAGGGGGTATTCCTCCTGAGACACTTCAGGTGAATATACATGGGGATATCTGCATATGAGAGCTATTCCTTCCTCTCAGCTTAGGGCTGTAATAATTTCACTGTGAGGAAAACAAAGACCTAAAACCTTTCAGTTCAGTTGTTTGATCGCTCTGCAGTTTCAGTGAGTTATTACAAAGCAGCACATGGAACAGGAATAACAAACACTGTTTTTAAAACTCCCAAATAGACTATCTGCAAGATATACAAGCTTACAAAATATTTAAGCCTGCATTACTTGCTACATCCAGGTGGTTTTCAAAAAGGAGCATCAGCATTGCAAAAGAATTAGAACTCAGCATCCAGAATGTCTAAGATATAGGGGTGGTTTTTTTGACATTTATTATTCCATATCTGACTAGAGAACTATGAAAGATGAATAAACATATTAATTTGCATGTGTACATTCTTTCTGTAACCAACACACCAAACAAGCTCAATCTATTCTGACAATACTGGATTGCCAAGACAAGTATCACTGCTTGGTCCAAAATTTATCAATAGTAAAACCTCCCCTTGATAAAAACCAGCTGGAGAGCATTGTTCACTAAAAAACCAGCAACATTTCTATTACAAACAACTCATAGATAAAGTAATATTTAAGGCCAGTTTTTACCTTTAATTTCTAACCAAATATTTTCCTGAACCCAGTGTGTGTCCTGAGCTAAGCCTTCCTGCTCCTGGAACAAGGAAACACTCTATTTTTGATCCCTAATAACCAGTCACTGAAATAAAACCACTATTATTTAGGATCCAGATTATGTCTCATTTTCCCACAACTGACTCACTCACTTGATTATCAGATTAATTTGGTGAAGTTTGCATCAACAGGAACAGCTCAGTGATGTCATACCCAAGTGAACTCCCTTCTAACGTTGAATCAACTTACCTGCACAAAGGAGTTGTGCACCACAACCAGGCCCTTTAGACCCAAAAGGACCCCCTCTCTCTGCTCATCTGTGTTTTATTAGCTGAAATTAGTATTGCAAAATGCAAATAAGTAACACAAACACAATTTTGGTCAAGGTTTAACCTATTTGTATCAGGAAAGCAGATCAGCACTACAGAAGTGAGTATGAGATGCAATAAACCAGCCTTTCAGACACAACACACAGAAAGCCATTCTCGTCCTTGATAACGATTAAATTACTTTTATTCCCATTTAAAATATACAACTTTGAAAAATTATGCAATGTACATTCAAATGAATTGCATTCCCAGGTGTCCTGATAGCCAGCAATTCTATTGCTGGCCAGTGCAACACAATGATCCGTCAACACTGTTTATTTATGGTCACGGGAGAAAAACCTGCATAAATAAATATTTCCATCTGATATTGCAGCTTTACCTTAAGCACTTACATTTAGAAGTCAAGTTCCTGTAGGCCTCTTTCTCCGAGTACTGCTTCTCGTTCCTAAAGGAGAAAACGAACTCCACAAAGATCCCAAGAAGGGGGAAAAAAAAAAAAAGTCTAAGTCAGCTAATTTAGAAATAGCATTCAAGACACAAGAGTCAGAAATAACCATTGGAGCCGTTATTCCCATCCAAAAGCAGTTTGGGAAAGCTCTTTAACACCACCTGGACTCCTAATGGCCTTTAAGAAGTAATTTCAAAGCTTTAGGAAGGTTGATACAAGTAGTATCTTTAGCACAGCAATGTCGTTGCAGATGTTTCTGGGAGCATGGCAAGGAGATACAGTCCACAGACCCCTGAGAGAGCACCACCACTGGGAAACCCTCATGGGATCCTTTAGGAAAGGCCACACCAAGGGGTTGGAGGCCCTGACAGTGAGTGCTGCCCTCGGGAACATGGCCCTGCACAAGCTCCTGCTGCTGCCAGCGCTCCAAAGGCTCTCAACAGTTTGGTACCATACCCTAACTCAGCAGAGAGAAATCAACACGGGTCTTTTAAAGTTGATAGTTTTTTATTTACAGATTTATTGGCAAAAGGTGGCAAGAAAGTTTAAAATATTTTAAACAGAGGGCACCATATTGTACTGTCTGATCTATCAGTCGACAATCTTCAGTATCCAGCTGATCAAGTAAAGCTAATCACCACGGAAAGAAGCATCATCTGCATCAGCTCCATTAGAGTGTCCTGCCTAAAAAACCACTTCAGGCAGTTTCTAAATCAACACAATCACTAATAAAAATGCAATTTCTGTGAAGGACGAATACTTGGATTTTTATACTGTACCTGGTGTCAAATTGCCCACTTGCACACTGGCAAAGCACTTAACACTTCTTACTTTTAGCTGAAAGTTCTAACCTCACTGTCTGCAAAGTCAGCTGTTGAGTAATTCTGACCTACTCTGAAAGTTTTACTGTGAGCATAGTCAAGACTGGAGTAGATAAGACTGAAGGAAAACATTCCTGGGATACCACATGCCCATCATATTCAGCTGCATACCCATAAACATCTTGTTTAAGAATTCTATTCAAAAAGGAGAAAAAAATGTAGTCAGTTTTCACTTTGTCACATAGATTTAATTCCTCGCTGGAGCTTTTTAGTTCATTCTTCTAAATCAAGAGTGTTTAGTTCTTCTTCTAGTTCATCCAAGTCCTCTCCAGTAAACAGATTTTCATCAACTGGAACAGCATCAATTACTCCATTTTCCAATTCCCCATCTCCATCATTGTCTTCCTCTAAATCATTTTGCTCGCTGCTGTTTATATCACCACCAGAAGCTTCACTTAATTTATTATCTGAAAATAAACACAATTCTTAGGCATTTCACTATTACAGGTTTCCTAATCACCAGTTCGAATTCACAATCCTACTAAACTTGCTTTCAAGTTTCGAGACTGTATAGAAGTTGAAATTTGAAATGCATTTATATTTGAAATTCATGCAGACCTACATGGGTTAAATTGCACGTGTCTGACTAACATGCAGGTCTGGATAATCAATTATGAAAACAGGTTAAAAAAAACCCAAAAAACCCCAAAAAACTCCAACCCCCACCTCCTCAAACTGCTATTTTCATAACTGGGTCAAGCAATGAGCTGCTCCTACACAGTGCACTTGAAAGACTCTTGCTCTTACAGATCATTCTCTCTCAGATGCATTCCACAAGTGCACCAAGTTCAGGACTTTCCTCTAAGAAGTTACAAGCTAAATAGAAAAAAACTCAAATAAAAGCTTGGATCTCTCTTATATTGTTCATTCTATGATTTACAAAAAGGTGAAGTTAGAACAAGCCCCTTAGAGAGGTACTAGAAGCAGCCATAAACACTACCTTTAAATTAAACTTGAATTTAAGAAAGTAAGTACATATAAGCCTTTCCTGTAGTAACTACATGACATGTACCACTAACAGAACTGAATTACTGGGGCCATCTACCTTTTGGCAGTCTCCCAAGTAACACCCCTGTGTTAGTGATGCCCCAGGGCAGAGCTTACCATCCTTTTCTACCAAAGTGTAGGTGCTGAACCGCTCAGGACTAGCCACTGTAATCCCAGTCTCCTCCACTGCCTTGGGGACATACAGGTTCAAATCCACATCATTTATGCACACAGGGTCTTCCATCTGAAAAAATAAACCAGGGTGCTCTGTATGAATTGCTTTTCCACAAAATCCTCACTTCTGCACAACTGCAACACCCTTTTCCACCTTCAACGTTCTGATCAAATCTGCTCTGTGGCCTTATTAAATTAAGAACCAAGCTTATTAATTGCACTGAAAGAGTTATCAAATGAAAAGCTTTCAAATTTGAATGCTACTGAAACGTTACTTGATTTAATCCTGTTCTTTACCTCATCATCATCTCCTGCTCCCTGAACATAATGGGTGTCATCTGCTTCTTCATCATCTGCATCAACCAGCTCTGGCCGGAACTCAAACACTTCACGTCCACTAATCTGTTCGCAGGAAAAGAAACCTTCAGTTATCACTTCAAGGAATTTATACCGCTTAAAAAAAACCCTAACAAACCACAAAAAAAGCAAGGAAAAGAAAAGAACACAACCCCCCACCAATCAATTCCAGGCCAGCTACCTTTTACAAAACTGTATTTACTCCCTCTTCTTACATTAAGAAATGGACTGTATAACTTACCACCAATGCTTTGCCAGCTTTGAAATCTGCTTTCCTCCTCTCCATATCTTGCTCAGCCTTATCAATTTTTTCTTGTCTTTTTCTTCTCTTCCAGGCAATAAAACACTCTAGAGTAATTTTGGTAACATTTGGTCCTAAGGCTGCACGCTGTCAAGGCAAGAGACTGATTATGCTAGAAACTCTTTCCAAAAGGCTACAACAAATTTAAATGTAATTACACTTGCCCAGAAAGTAATAGAAAGCATTTCTTTCTGATTCTTTGTTGACTCTTAGCACTGTCAAATCTGCACCATCATCTTACCCTTTGACTCAACATGTAATTTTCCAGTTAGTGAGACACAAAAGTTGACAGGGAAAGTGAAGGAGGACACAAAGTAACAATAACAGCTCGGTTCTTGTCACAACGACACTGCCAAGCAAGGGGGGGCAGAAATAAGCAGAGCAGCAACACCTTCAGAAGGCCTTGTTCTCTTGGTGTTGCTTCCCCACTGGAGAGTTATGGGAGAACTCAGGAGACCAGGCTGGGGATGTGAAAGGCCCCAGAAGCCTTTGTTGGTAATAGATAAATGAGAAATAGCAGTAAGAAACAGAAGCCTCCTAAAAAAAGCACAAGCAACAGCTGCACATGCTGCTATAGTTAGTTCTATTCACTAGGTAATGGTTTCTAAACAGCTCATACAGCTGTAACAACATCTTAATTAATTAGAAATTAGCAGGTTCTTTCCATCTGCCTCCTCAGAGCAGAACAACGGTAAAAACAACTTCCCCCAAAAGGTACCTGTCTGACAACTTTACCTCTTTTTCTATTAGGTCTTCTAAGGAGATTTCATCTTGCTTTTCCTCCTTCTTTTTGTCCTTTTTTAACACAAAGCCTGGGGGCAGGGCGTGGCGATACATGCAGTTGTCTCCTCCGCCGGGACAGACCCAAAACCAGCCATATTTGTTGTTTTCAATGGCATCAAGGAAATATTTGCAGACCTGGATAAAAACAACGGTGGTTAGCCCTGCGTTCTCTTTTCATCCCCACGTTTTCCACCACAGAAGTTCAGGAATTCAAAAGTCAGCTGTGCTCAAAACAGAAGGAACAGGTGAAATGCGTTGTTATTAAAAAAGTAAATGAAGTGCAACTGATTATTAGAATTATTAAAATAAAGACAGACCACCTACTATTTGGGTTTTGGGTTTTTTCTTTTCCGCCTCACCATGCTTCTTGTTCACCACTTCTTCCAGCTTCTTCTCATCCCAGTTGTCCATTGTATCTAGAAAAAGACAACAGATGGTTTCACAAAAACTCCACAAATACTGAACACTGCTGTCAAGCTGCTTTTTTGCCTAGTAACAGTTTTAGCATGCAATTCTTCTATTTTAGCTACCTTATACAACAGAAAATAAATGCAGGCTCTTCGAGTTTGCAAATTCCCCAATGCCACCCATAAGACAATTTCTCCAAAAGCCTTAGAAATTTTATGTTTTTAAATGCACAGAATGTGTTTCAGTAAAGACTGAGTAATATGTCATTCCATCTGTACAGGACTCAGCGTGCACAGGGGAAAAGAAGGAAAAAAACAAAGGTAAGGTTGGAGGGCAACATCCAGAAGGTCAGATCTTATAACCTGAGGATCAAAACAGGTAAAGAAACTCCAGTAGATCATTACATATTCTGCTTTTGCTCTTAGAAGGAAACAGCAACTACCAGAAAGATCAAATGCTGTACAACTTGCTGCTTGCACAGCATAACCCATTACACATCATTCAGCATCACCAGGTTACACTTCTTCTGAAGAAGAAGGTCTAAAGAACATCTGTGGACACGCTTGGAAAAGGCAGTTTGCAGTGCTGTTCACAACTTGGAATAGTGTGGGATGGGCTGCCTTAGGCTCTTCAGTATCATAACCTCAACACAGAAGACCTTTAAGGTTAAAATTCCAGTTTCAGAAGCAGAATAGCTGGGCAGCAATTTTCTAAAAGCGCTCTACCTTTCTCAAGGTCTTCATCTCTGGCATCAATGTAGACACTCCGTTTCTCACACTTCCTTTCCAGAGACAAATCATGAGAAAACTTGCACTTGTCCCCTTTAGTGCACTGGCCTTGCTTGAAGAAAGCACACACTACAGATTTGGGGTCAGCACCTGAGGGGAGAAAGGTTTTATATTTTAATACTATTTTTTAACAACAGCTGTATATAAGAAATCCTGAGAACAATACCCAGGATTTATAGGGAATGAAAATGCCTTTTTAAAATAACATGAATCTATATGTCTTCTTAAAATAACATGTCATACTTGCTCTTATTGCATGATATTTGCATTATGTATCAAAGCTGGCACTTGACTATTTAAAGAAATATGGACAGCAGTGTGCCTGAGCAAATTATTCATTTACATAATTCAACACATCAGAGATCACTGGGCAACTTCTTCCCTATTCTTGCCAAACACACAATAAAGCACCTTCTGAATGTTACCAAGAAAACAGTAGGAAAAATTGTAACAATTTAACCTGCACCCCTTCAGACCACTTTCTTCAGTAATAGAAATAAGATGGCTGTTCACAGTCCCCAAAATAAACAACTTTTATAACAGAATAAACAATTCAATCAATCTAATTACAGTTTAAGTAAAAATCATGCCACTAAGGAATTATTTGAGCATTAGAAGGCCATCAGGAAAAGCAATGAAAGAAGGTAGAATGCATTTATTTAGACATGACTAAATGAGAAATATTTGACTTGCAATACAAGTTTTCTGTGAAGGCAACAGTTACCTTATGTTTCTTACACTGTCTGCATGTTCACACTCCCCTGAGCAGACAGGCTGCATTAAACACCAGCACACACACACAGAGTCATGCCACACCCCCAGAAACATCCCACTGATGAACCAGAAACACCAAAGCATCTTCAGCTGCCCACTCAATATCAACTGGTGGTTTTGGAGGGTTATTCTACCTCAAGTAGCTAAATGAATAAGAATATAAATGTAGAAAAATCAGTCATACCTTTGCTAATTTTCTGTGCAGCAACCACAGGCTTGAAAAGCTCATTTAATTCTTGCAATTCCTTTTTCTTGTCTTCTTTTTTTAATTTCTTCTCACTTTCTGTTTGAGCAGCCTAGAACAACCCCGAATTTGAAGTTACAAATGTAAAATCAGAATGCCATGACTCACTTCACAAGGACTGCACATTAAAATAGCCAATCAAGTTTATGGATAAGGAAAAAAACCTGACTGTGCCTCATCCTTTTTGGATAAGCCAGAGAAGGCCTGTATCCGTGCCAGAGTGGGCTGAAAGCAGAGGGAAGAGGACATGGGAGAAACATTTGCTAGATCAGGTATGAAAGGAGGCTGTAGCAAGGTGGGGGGTGGTCTCTTTTCCGAGGTAACAAGTGACAGGGGGAGAGAAAACAGCCTCAAGTTGCACCAGAGAATGTTTAGATTGGTTATGGGGAAAATTCCTTCACTGAAAGGGTGGTCAAGCATTGGAAGAGGGTGGCCAGGGAAGTGGTGGTCATCACCCCTGACAGCATTCAAATATATGTGGACATGGTTTAGTGATAACACAGCAGTGTTCACATCAATCTCAGAGCTCTTCTCCACCCTTCACGGCTCTGTGATTGTTTGACTCTGATCCTCATGGGAAGCTGGTGGGACTAACACCACTGTATGAGTATGGGGGGTACTTTTTTCTGAAAGACAGTGTAATATTAAAAAAAGGAGCTTTGTTCTTGGGGTGCATTTCTCAAAAAATATACCAAATTGTTTTAGAAGGGAATTAGCAGCTTGGCCAGTTTTCACACTGAAGGTTCACAAATGCTACTCTATATAACATGGAGACCCACGTGTGTCAACTCCAGAGAGTAATACCTCAGAATGCTTTTGTTTCACCCCAAGGTTCTAAAGACATGAAGATGAAGCTTGTCTTAAAAAAGAAATAAACCAACAAAACCAAACAAAACACCCCAAAAGCCAAAGAAACTAAAATACAAACAAAAGAACAAAAAAACAAACAAAAACCCCCCAAACAAACAAACAAAACCACCACCAAACACCAACACCAAAACTCTGACAGCATTTTCATTTCAGGACACAAGGAAAATTGCTTTAAAATGCTTTCTTTCTCACGCACAACATAAGTGGAAGCTATTTTATAAGGTAAGAAAGGTATAATAGGGTTTAAAAATTTGGTTCTGCCATCCATCAGTCAACAGCTATCAGCATTTAGGAGATAAATGATTTTAGGCTGGCTCATTTACACACTGGTATTCCCACACGTGCCACAGATCCAGGGATTTCGTGGATGAGTTTCAGAAGAACTGCTTGAACACCACCAGTGTTTTTCAAGTGACATCAAGGAATCTCTTCCACTACAAGAAATTATGAGATCTCATGACCTGAACATCAGCTTTACTTTTCAAATTGCACCTGCCATCTGTCAGTTCATCCTTATGTTGCTCAAGGAATGCATCATGACATCATGAATGTAGCTAGCACAATGTAATTATTTTGCAGGCTTATTCACAGAGCAGAAAGCTCTGTAAATAATTAACCACCAGCCTCCCCAGCACTATGAGAATGAGAGACCTGCATCGTTTCCATTATAATTATTTCCAATAAATCCATGTTTGCTTATTAAGTATAACCTAACCATTGTACCTCATTTTATTTAATCCTACAGAAGAGCAAAGTAGCAGACAGTGGCTCAAAATTTCAGTTTCTCAGACTAAACAGCTCAGCAAATAGATTCAGTCTTGTTTCCATGTAAAATTGCTATAAATACCTCAGTGAGTAGAAGCACAAGCACATACAAGCCTATACTTTTTTTTATCTTCTCCTAATTCCATTTTTGGTAACAAATTTTTTTTTTTTTTTATAATTGCTCACTATTTCTCAGATAAGGTGGGAATTAAAGTGAAAAAAGAGAAAGAAGGTACAACTGTACTCTGCTGACAGGTGGTATCCACTGTTTAATTTCAGGTATACCTTAAATTTAATTCCATTACTATCAGAATACTACATAGGCAAAACCCCTCACCCTTCTTAGCTGAGTTTGGTTGGGGTGCATTTGTTTCCCCTTTTTTTATAAACAAAAACTAAAACAAAGCCCCAAAACAAACCCTCCCACTCTGTACCATCTTGACACAGGTACAGAATTCTCAGCTAAACTTGTTATTAGGACAGCAATAAAAAATGTGAGTTAGTGAGATCTGTGCCAGTCACAACAACACGAGGCAAGGAACAGCTCAACTTTTTTCCACCTCAGTACAGGACCATCTGTATGTACAGTGGAAGACGATCTGACTACACAGAAGGAAATACTGGACAATAAATGCTTACCTGGCGTGGATTTTGCTGACCAAACTTTACCTGGTGAGTCACAGCCTTGATGAACTTCTGCTGCTTTGCACCTTTTTTATTCTTCAGGCCAAATGTTTTGTCCTAAAACAAGAGATAAACACAGCCACGTGGATTACAAAGCAAAACCAAAGCCAACAACAAAAAACCCCACCCTTGCTGCTCCTTTCAAGTTTTCAGTGAAACACAGATCGTTTCCTCCAGCAACACAAGCAATCTAAGAAACACCTGCATTAAAAAACCAACTGTGCCTTGGATTTGATACCAAGTTTGGGTTTTTTCCCTTCCAGAAAAAAGGAGCAGATGTTTATCCAGTGTTATCACTGGATGAACTTCAGTTCAAACATACTTTTGGAAGCCCTGACAACCCAAAAATCTAGGATAAAATAATTACAGAATAGACAGCTCTAAGTTTCTAGAGTCACCCTGCTTTCACTTAGAGCATATCCCCTATCAACACCAGCTGGTCTTCTGTTACTTTGTGCCAATCTGAGAAGTCAAAATAATCCTTTGGGAAAGAAAATCCATCATTCACACACTTCATTTCCACTGCAAACGCCACAGGGAGGATATAATCCCTCTGTATTTAAATTATACAGTTAAGTTGTTGTTAACAATCAGGGCAAGCTTCTCCTCTTTCAGCTGCACGTCTTTGTAATGAGCAGAATTTTCCTGTGAAGCTGGATTCAGCAGTTGGATTCAGCAAGAACCCCAGTAAATCCAAAGCCAGGAGAACACAGGACCACCTGCTCTCACCTCGTATTTCCCAAGAGCACAGGAACAACATCCTGCAGCCTCAGATGTAAAAGAACGCTCACACTGTGCAGATGTTCTGCCCTAACAGCTGAGCAGCTACAGTCTTTCATGCCAGTAAATTCAGGCAAATATATAATTGTCTATAACTGCCTTGCTTGTGCCCTCAACATAAATTCTTCCGTTGTTAGCATAAGATTTGTGTGTGACTGTCCTAATAACCAAGACACACAGACACCCCTCCTGCAGTCCTTTAAAAAAAAATCCTGGTCACACGGGTCAAATCGTGACGAGAAGCCGCAAAACAAACCACACCCGTGTTTTCAAACTGAGTGAGGAATCGTAGGGTTGTGAGGGCTGGAAAGACCCTCTGGAGAGCGCCTGGTCCAGCCCGAAAGGTCACAAAGCTACACCTGGGCGAGCCGGGCTCGGGGCACACAGGAGCACACAGGAGCACCCAGGGCAGCGCCCCGGCACGCCGAGCGCCTGGTTGTGCGGCCATCCCGGGGCCGCTCCAGCCGCGGGAGCCGCCGGCAGCGGCAGGGCCGGGCCGGGCCCGGGGCCTTCCTCACCTCGATGATCTTCTCCTTCTTCTTCTGGTCCGCCTTCTTGCTGCCCCCCGCCGGCTGCTGCTGCTTCTTGGGGGGCATGGCGGGGCGGGGAGGCCGGGAAAGGGCCGGGAGCAGCTCGGGAATGGGCCGGGAATGGCTCTGGAAGAGGCCGGGAACGGGCCGGGCCGGGCCGCGCCGGGGAGGCGCAAAGGGAGCCGCGGGGCACGCCGGGAAGGCGCACGGGCAGTGACGTCACTGCGGAGCGCTTCAGTCCTGCACCGATGGATGCAGTTTCATCCTTTGTGAATTAATTAAAGTTTTTCACCGGGTTTAACCAGTTTCTGGTACAATCTGCGCCCAAAAAATATTTTAATAACGAGGCGTGTTTTTAAAATTATCTCACGGACCAGAGGTATAAACCAGATTGTTTACTCCGTCACAAACTGTGATTCCACAGCAGCCAGGCTGTAATGTTTGCATCTCGTGTGAAATATATTTCATTTGTGGCGTAATTCGTCGTTATCTTCCAACTCTAGAGAAAAATTATTCCCGCGTTGTTGCTTCCTCTCGTTGTGATCTGAAAAAAAAAATAGTGGAAATGAGGATTATCATAAATAAATCACAGGATTAAAATATTAATCCACCTAAGCCTAAAGTGCAGTATTTTATTTCTAGGAACTTATACAACTGGGTTTTAATCTGCATCCAGCATTACATTTAGAACCCGCTGAGGCTAGAATTATGAATAAATACAAGTTAGAAATATCTACAATATTTCATTTTAAAAATCCCAAGTAACCTTAGAGATATGAAGCTTAGCATAACTCAAGCTTCTTGAGTTTTTTCCACTTTCTTTGCCGTACCTCAACAATTATTCTAGTTCTAATGAATATGAATCCCTTTATAAATGACAAGTGAATAATTAACTTCAAGGTGTTTATGGGTCGAGTCTAAGAGCCTGCTGTGCTTTACCAACATTGTGTTTCACTATGGTACAGGTGCATCTACTACAATTAAAAAAAATAAGCCTGGTTTAATACACTGTACTGTTCTTCCCCTACAAATAAAAATCTAGCCATGTATTTATTCTAAGTGAGAAAATTTAGCTACTACAAATCTACAGTGCTGGGCTTGTTGATCTTAAGCATCTTTCCCAACCTAAATTGTTCTATGGAACTCAGTAAAGGTTCAAACCTGTTAGAAAAAGCCTGACAAAGATAACATGACAGCGTTTCTCCTCCTTTCAAGAGACACTCTCTAATACAGCCTTAATAAAAAAAAAAAAAAAAAAAAAAAAAAAAAAAAAAAAAAAAAAAAAAAAAGAGTACAGTGACCACCTCAAACCTTTCCCCAAGCTGCCCCAGCTTCCAGGGGAAGCATTATAAGGTAAAACCTGCCTTAACTGGTTAAGTCAGCTGGAGACATTCTGGCTGATGGTGGGAGCCACCTGCATAACATTATGGATAAATTCATGCTCCGAGGGAAGGGCAGGGTATATAAAATTGTTCTTGGAACAGCAGTAAATGGTCTGAGAAAATGAGTATGGGGGGGGGGGACTTTCTGCACTTTTATTTATGGATAATCTCTTCTTACTTATGGGGAAGTCTAAGGAAATGTTGGAATGAACTTACCCAGTCTATGCTGAGGAGCTCAGGATGTACCAGGTACCAACACATCTGTGTTACTGTGGGAACAATGGGTTGTTCTCCTGGGAATGTACAGGTGACAGCCCGTTGCTATGGAAGCAGTAAGTGACTGGAATGTTTGGGGTGACAGCCCATTGCTGACCACTTGTGCTAGGCACTCCCCAAAGCAGCCTCGTGGCTGAGTGTGGAGGGAGCCCTGGGGAGGCTCTCCAGGCATAAAGTGATCTTGGTGGGATCTCTTGCCTTGGAGAAACCCCTCCTGGAGACAGAGCTGTGGTGGTGGGTGAGTTACTTGCACCCTGTGACCAAACTGGGATTCCAAACTATTAACTTTCTGGATTTCAATCTGTTCACCCTTAAAATGTTGAAGGCTGTTACAGGAACAGCCAGAAGGTGTCATAATTGCCCCACATTCCAAGGATGTGTCACAGAAAATGGTGTTGCTGGTATAGTTTAACTTTCATCATTTACAGAGCAATCACAGGGGCTCACATGCTGCAAGTCACATTCCTGGAAAGTCATATGGCCAGAATGTTGATCCAGTGTCAGTGGTGTTTGGCTTAGAAGCTCTTTGTAGGACTGCCCTTTCTAAACTGTTGGATATAATGAACACTGACAACATAAGTTGAAAATTCTGCTCTTTAAAGGTTAAAATAGTATTTTTTAAATGTTCAGAAAGTCTAAATACTTCATGATTTCCTAACTTAGAAAAATGAAACTCTTCTAGTACCTTTTTAACTGTGCTAAGAGCTGGCTAAGAATTGCTCGCAGAAGTGCTGTGAAGAAACAGTGTCGCTAATGCAAAAGGTTTTCTTACTGCTCAGAGTTGTTTTTTTTTTTTTCCCCCCTCTGGAAACAAGACAACTGGTTCTGAGTCAAAAACCAGAGGAAATCTGCCCCTCAGGAGTGCACATCTCCAACAGTGTTGGAGTCTGGGGTGTTTTGGTGGTTTTTTCATATGGATTCAAGACAGGAATAAATGGCATTTGAAAGAGATTTGATCTTTGTAGAAATCTTTCGGCTGTAAATGAAGAAAAACAGACTTAAAGAGAAATATCTCCATTAACAAAGCCCAAATCCTTGTACATGGAAATACGGGGGCAATGGTTTGTTAGATCTCAGAATTATTCCAGTAATGCTCTGGACTCCTTTAAGAAACGGAGGAGCATCTCGTGTTTCCCAGCGTAGACATATATTGATACCAAGTGCTCTGAACTCTCTTTGGTTTTTCATCTAGTTGGAATGAATTTAGGTGGCTTGGAGCTAATTTAAAATGGTAATACAGAAATAAAATTCTGTGTTTTACTTTGATAGCCTCAGAAATTGCATCCAGTAGTTGGAGCTTGCTGCATGTGTGCACATGCTGTGTGTACACAGACCTGTGGGGGAGCCCAGCTGGTTCTAGGCTCTCTGTAAACTGAGATATTGAAGATGGAACTTCTTACACCTGGCAGAGGGTTAACCACGGACAGTAGGACTGTAACACAGAGTGGGTTTCCTGTTAGGAATGTTAACCTATTGTGTTAAGACATGTGGCTGTGTGTCCAATCATGAGTTGTTAGTGGTAAACCAATGCTGTGTATATGTGTGTCACCCAGAACTGTATAAAGGTAGATACACTGTTGCAATAAAGCAAGCTGGTATCCTGAAACCGTGTCACTTTCCCGCCTCATCCGCGACATAGAGCTGCTCTGAGCTGGATGGGGAAAGAAAAGGAAATGTGCACACTTTCTATTGATGTCTTTATACTACTTTTTTGTAATGAAAATAGAAGGTTTTCAGATGCATTTAAGCACTGGAATAAGCCACTAGGCTCTTGTTTAAAATTTGTTCTATTTGGGAGCATTTGTGAGCTTCTTTGAGAGTGTGAATTAGGTGAACCAGCAACTCAGTAATGACACTCTTGAGTGAGCTGCGATCTTTCTTTTTACTTAATGCTGTAAGGATGTTTATTTTCCAGCAATAAGTTTTAAAGCTGATTCTTAATTGGTCTCAATATTAGAATGATAGAACAAGTAGATCTAACTTGGTCCTGTTCTGATAGTTGTAAAGTGCAATGGGTGGATCAGTGGTGACAGAAAATTTATTCCAATGGAGGGGCCATTTCAAATGGTGTTGTATGTTATGAGGTTGAGGGAACAATAACCATGAGCTGTTGCACTGAAATTATTAGCTGTGAAGATGCTCCAAGTAAATGAGGAGTCATCCCCTTTTCCCTCAATACAGAAAAATGAAACCAAGCTGATAGAGGAGTTTCCAGAGAGTAATGAAGAGGTTGAGAAGAAGTCGGCAGCAGAATGAGAAGTGTGGGTTTTGGCTGGGTCTTGGTTTTTGCTTTCCGGTGAGCGGCTGTTCCTGTGGTAACCATGGATTCACTATTTGGTTGCCAGGAGGCAGCACTGGTGGGAATGTCTGTGGTGACAGGCAGTTGCTATGGTAGCAGTGGGTGACTAGAATGTTTGGGATGACAGTTCATTGTTATGGAAGCAGTGGGTGACAGCCCATTGCTATGGAAGCAGTGGGTGACTGGAATGTTTGGGTTGAAAGCCTGTTGCTAACCCCTTGTGCTGAGCACTCTGCAGAGCAGCCTTGTGGCTGAGGGCAGAGGGAGCCCTGAGGAGGCTCTCCAGGCACAAAATGGGATCTCCTGCCCTGGGGAGCCCCTTCTGCAAACAGGGCTGTGGTGGTGAGTGAGTTGTGCTGACACTGTGACCTCACCAGGATTTGAAACTCCTAACTCTCTGCTTTTTCTACCTGTTTACCCTTAAAATGTTGAGTGTCATTACAGGACCAGTAATAAGGTGTCATAATTGCCCCACGTTCCAGGACCATGTCACTTGTACAAACTCTGCTGTCACTCACAAAGTGAGCATAAGTGTTCACAACTGGCAAGTTGAGTTGCTGAAAAGTCATATGGTTGCCATATACATGTATGTGAATTTTAAAAATGCTTTTTTAGCTTTAGGACAAGGCCTTTTCATATCAGGAAGGAGAGATAGAGAGCAAAGGAGATAGTTTCCAGTTATTTAATGAAAGTAATGGGAGTTTAACAAAGGAATTTGAGACTTTAGGATTCAGAGGGAAGTTTAACAGGGAAGATCCAAACAGATATGAACCTACACTTCATTCCCTGGTGAATTTTGCCATGTGACACATTCTTGGAACTTGATATATTGTACTTGTGTGGTGGTTTTAATCTAGGCCTTCCCTGGTTACCAGTTTGTAACCAAGGAAGGGGCAGTGTTCCCAGTATTCCATACAATTTTTACGTAAGTTGTGGTATACATAAGAGGGGAGGAGCGGCCTTCGTTCTTCTTCTCTTCTGCCGAAGTTCGGGAACAGTGGGTCCCTGCGTTGGTCTCGCTTATCTAAGGCTGAGGCCTGCAGCATCCACTAACCTGCCACGTGGAGGCTTAAAAAGTACTGGCCGTGTCTGCCAATCCTGCTTTCTAAGGGACGTGGTGAGATTTGTTTTACTAGTTATTTTACTGCTTCTCGGGT